ATTCTCACCTCTTATAAGTTTTTTTCTTCTTTTGTGAATTCTGTTAATCTGGATTTCCTGAATCCCTGTTGTTTACTCTTTTCTGCTATGAGTTTTTCTATTTTCTTCGGCCAACCGCCTTCCTTAGAGTAGATTGGGTGTAAGTACAGTCCTCCCTGATATTATACGTCAGTAAATGAACATTTTCAATCATTTGAATTAAACTTCAAAAGTATTTAGTAACACTATTATTTTTGGACACTGTTTGTTATTTTATTCACCATAAACTGTAGAGCCAGTTCAGCCGCTTCTCATTCATTTTCATCATCTCCCTCAAACCACATGACTTGATTGGAGATGGACACTTTGCCTTTAAAATATAATGTTATACATTTGCATATGTATGCAGAATTAATTCAGAAGAACCTAGAGATTTTATTAATTAACAAAAAATCAAGTACCTAAAGTATTTTTTATAAATTCATATAATTCTTTTACCTTTATATTTTTGTCTAAACTCCTTGTCATATATCCGCCATGCTTTAGCGTGTGCCAACATTGTGTTCTTGCTGCAGATATAATTTCCAACTCCAGTGCTTACTATTCCTGGAGCGTGAACTCCAAAAGTGTAAGCAACGTCACAAAACGTCAGCGGTTCATTGAGAGTGATCCAAGTTTTGACTCGGTCAGCGTATAGAGTGAACACAACACGAGCGTAGTCCGCAAACCAATCTGATATTAAAGGGTCCAGCCGCCTGTGAATTATAACTTGGGCTAACAAACATTTCATAACTAGCTACCCGGCAGACTTCGTTCTGCCTTATAATAAAGAAATATCTGTAACCTTTTTATCTGAATGAAGTTAATTTCTTTATTCCTCAATTAAGTTTTGCCTGGTTCAACCTAATAAACATTAATCACTCATTTTCCACTTTTACATACATATCGACAGCATATTGGTGACAGAGACGCTAACATATTAAGATGTGATTGACCTCAACTTCTCCAACCATAAGTCTGTATTATTAATTTATTTTTTTGTTAGTTTCAGAACCTAAAAACATTTTTTTGTGATAAAATTCTATAAATTACTTAAAGCTATGATAAACATAAAAAACTTAAATTTTTTATTTACCTGTAACTGGATTTATCATCTTCTTTAAAAATAATACCCATCTTCACCTTTCCAAAATAAGATAAAATATATTTATATATGTTCGATGTGTTTCGGACACACGCTGCAGTTGATTGTTACACCAGTGTAAAACAATATTGCTGTTATCCACATTTTCACCCACAATGACTATAGCGACTTCATCAATTCTTTGGGCATTAAAATGTCTTATATGTTTTTTATAACAATTTTGTGATTATCAGATGGCATGTGATCTAATGCGGTCTTGAATAATGCAACCAATTGTTGGTTGTGGTGATGGAATAATAATTGGAACTGTTCCACAACTGGTCTTTTCACAGAATAGTTGAGTGCACAACGCTGATCAACTTGTCTTCCTGAATCGCCCATGAAATTAATTTGGAAAAATTTTTAGTCACTGACCGGCACTGGTAATAACTATGTAATAAGTTCAATGATATATTTGTCCTTGAATCTGCAAAGGTAAACATTCCTGTATTACATATACATATTGTAAAGTGAATTGTTCAAACCACCAAGTGACACTCAAAATACTTTGTGAGCACTACCACTTCCCCCCTCAACTTTTTTAACACAACTCCTTCTGGCTACCAAAAGTAATTCACAGAGCTACAAATGTACTTTAAGCCATTTCAAATGATACATCATTACAATTGATAACTGTCAACAATAGTGGTAAATGTACCTTGCCTTAAAACAACACTTACCTTAAAAGTTGGCATAAAATATATTGTACTGTTGACCATTTCTGTTATAATCAAATGCAGCTCTATAGCGGTTAAAAGCAACACTTCTATATTGTTGGTTTCGGTTCCATCGATTCCGTTCAACTTCATTCCGCGTTTAACGTTGCTCATCAGTTAGACTTGCTCCTCTATATTTAATATCTTTGATTTGTGGCATTACGGGTTCTGCGACTTAAATTTGTACGTCTAATTGCCGGCATGTTTTGAAACAAAACTTCAACTGAAAATAAAAAATACTATTATTCTATTCCTATGCTTTTGTAATAGTATCAAAATGGTCTATCAAAACTTTTCAACACTATAATAATTTGACTTTACCTTGTTGGACAAACACTTCAGAAAAAAACACACGGTACAAATTATCTTGTAGAAACCTGAATGTGAAAGTTACACTAAGAAATGGTAAATGAATTATGTAGGTATTTTGTTATTATAACTCCGGCCACAAATAGTGAAACTGAATATGTACTCGTACAAAACCACACAAAAAAAAAACAAATTTACTGTTTTGCAAACAATTTCGAAGAATAACTGATTACTGAACTTTTAAGACAGAGACAATAGTTTATCATAGACTAATAACACAAACGACAAGCTCAGCTTATGTATGGCGCATTTAAAAGTAAGTAATTTTAATCATATGAAATGTATATCATAAATATTAACAAAAAAATCAATTCTATTTTCATTCAGTGCTTTGTGATAAACGATGTTTTTTGTTTGATTACCTGGCGCATAGACAAACAAATCTGATGGTTATTATTATATTTTGTGACTATTCAATTGGTCGTGTCCGCGATCACTTTTTTTTAGTTTCTGAACGCGACATTAAATGCTCCAACGACGTATTCTGTACTAGCTTTTGCCGCGACTCCGTCCGCGTGGAATAGTGACTTCCGGCAGATTTTTGGTTCTTCCCACATAGTTCCCGTTCTTGCGGGGTTTTCGGAATGGTCGAGTTCCCGTAGAATTTTCAGGATAAAACCTGTATTTTTTTATTCACAATGAAGTACTCTTAACCAACAACATATTTATTTGTTTATTTGAATAAAGATTAATATTATTATGTTGATACAACTTAAACAAATTAATTATTTCGACCAAATTAGGTACCATAAAAACGGTTTTTGTGAGTTAATCTTAAAAGATAGACATATACTGTCCTAGACTGTTTTTTAGATCATTAAAAGAGCTATTATTCTTTAATACATATTTTTTGTGTATCTTGAACCGTTTTGACGGCGCACGCAACGGAAGGCTTCAAAGATGAAATAATTTCTCCCGTTTTTTACACATTTACCACTATATCTTTGCTCCTATTGGTCGTAGCGTGATGTTATATAGCTTACAGCCTTCCTCGATAACTGGACTATCTAACACAAAAAGAATTATTCAATTCTAACCAGTAGTTTCGGAGATTAGCGCTTTCAAATAAACAAACAAACAAACAAACTCTTCAGCTTTATAATATTAGTATAGATTCCAACGCACACACGCACCTGTTTTGATAGATATGATTGAATTTGAACTTTGTGTAGCGGTAAGAAAGTGCAAATTTAGGAATTTTGACTTTAGGAAAACACCTGCATTTCTTAGATAACAGTGAGTGCTTGTAATCGAATATGATAATTGAACATAATAGCAATAAAGCTCAAATTGATTCGACGTTTTAGTTAGAAAACGTTTGTATGTGAAAAGGAAAAGGGTTGTTTTTAGGGTTTTCCCGGAAATTATTAGATTTTTTCTCGCCGAAAGAACCATCCTTGGACTTCAAGGAACATTTAAAAAAAAGAATTGGCCAAATTGGTCCAGGCGTTGTTGAGTTATGCGCTTACCAACACATTTTTATATTATAGAAGATATATTTAATTTTTATTGTTAAATGACTATTTTATTGTGGTGTACACTAAAGTACATTATTACATTAGGTATGTAATTTTCTTAATAACAGTATTTAATGTTCACTCTATAAGCAGCATCTTACAAACCCTTTTATTGTATGAGGTTTTAATCAAATCAAATCAAATCTTTCCTGTGAACAACACGAGGTGGCGCCATTAGCGGCATGGGTCGAGTAGTGGATATGATTGATTGAATATGGAAATAAAACTACACAGGGTTTTAATAAAGTTCAACACTGAGATGTATTACTTAATAAAAACACAAAGAATACATCCACAATAACTATAATTCATTTCAATTCAACAATAACAATATTCTATATGATAAGTGAGGTTTATATAAACATTATAAATGAAAACAGTTCAAGGTACATTATAACAAAAACTTTCAGTGGTATAATAAATACTATTCCATTAAAAACTAATTATTGTAGAGGAAAAAGTATGATAAGCATAATTAGTACATCCAGAAAAAAAACATTTAAGATTTCTTATGTTTTATCAGATTTTAAATAACAATAAAACATTAGAAAAGTACATCAAATAGTGACTAGTGAATAGTTGACTGGGTTTAACAAAATACTATGGACCAAAAGATATTACATATAAAACTTGTACTGTTAAAGATATTGTTTGTCAAGTCTAAATTCAATGTAAAGGATTGAAGTCGCAGATAAGTTGTAGATCGGCTGCTAGGCCGACTGTGGGTGGTTACGCGGGTACATTAGGGGCCTAGGGTACCTGAGAGGTTTCCGGCCTAAATCACACTCGTTCGTAAAACCCAGTGCTGTATTACGCCTTTATTTAGCCATTGGTTACCCAAGCGTTGGTTTCCAGAGATGCAGCAGGGTTGAGAGCCGACTCACGGACTTTTTTGGGAAAAAAACTTATCTTGGTAAAATTATGAGTAACAAAGAAACAAAGCAAGAATTTATAAGATACTGTGTGCAAATCACACAAATGGCTAACAGAAGAAACAAGTAATACAATAATGTAAAATAGCAAATAAGAGTATCGAAAAAATGAAGGAATGAAGAAATAAATTTGAATATACATAAATACGTAGTTGGGGAGGATCAAGGAGGATGCAATGAAGAGCCCTTCTGTAATATATGACTGCACCTCCTTTGGCTGAAAAACGGTGGTTCCTAATGATGTTATAGTTCCCAATCCGTGGGTTTCTACTCTAAGAAGGACTCTTATACTAGGCGTACAACACTAGGAGTGACATTGCCCCGGGGCGAGGCGGTTTAACGGTGGCTCTATTGTCAGTCCGAATAACTGACATACTGAGGCTATATTGAATATCTCTTTACCTTCCCTGGTAAGCGACAGGGGGACTAGCACCATATCGAATGGTTTTTTGTTTGGCTTGTGCATACGATGCACCTCTAAAACTGGCAGGTTTTGGGACTTAAGGTCCTCTTTTATTTCATCAATGGGAATCTCCGCGGGGAGACCCTTGATGACGACTGTTAGCCTACGCTCCTCCGGGAGGGCGTAGGTGTGGTATTCTAATTTTTGTAGTCTTAGCATCGCGGATAACGCGCGATGGTCGTTTATTTTATCTTTTTGTCGTTTAGGAGGCTGGATATGGAGTTCCAGCTCTTGTTAGTTCGAATGTATAACGGCGGCGGGTATTTAGTGAATGTTTTGGGTGCGGACCCAGGTAGACCCGCAGGAGCGGACACAGGTGTACCCGCAGGTGCGGACACAGGTGTGTCCGCAGGTGCGTGCGCAGCTGCACCGGCAGCTGCTGGGGTCAACGGTTTTTTGGTTGGCGGCGGCGCCTTTAGTGACTTGGCCGCCTTCCTCTTACCAGATTTGGTAAGGACGGGTTTGAACCCGTCGTTTTCCTCTTCTGCGTCCGAGGAGGACGGCGTCGAGTCTGTCTCGGCTTCCGAGCCGATTGGTGAGCAATCCATGTCGCATGGATTGCTTTTTGGACAGTCCGGTGAAGCCGGGCTGTCCGTATCGAAATTGGTGGGTTTTATTTCGGGGTTCACCTCGGTGAACTCCCTGTACGCATCTGGGAATTTTTTTATGAAGAAAGCTAGTAGGGCCTCTAATCGGCCCGAATTATGGTCGCCCATGATGGGCGACGGACTTATGGGGAGTCCTCCCTGCAAGGCAGGGAGGTGTGTAACCTATTTGATTCTAATCTAGACCCTGTTATTAGGTAACAGGGGTGAACCTACTTCCCTAAAAACTAACGACTGTGTAAATACCTTATGAGGGTGGCAGGACAACGGCGACTAAACGACGGTAACTGCTACCCTTTTCTTGATACTTCTATCGACGCCGGACACCTCGATCTTCTGACCTCTTCTGTAACTTGATGACACGTAACACAAACACCATCGGAACACTGATTACGCACGTCTGCGCCGTGCAAATGCCCAACTGAGAGTCCGCTGGTTGCGAAACCATTTTCTGTTATAAAGATCTCCATGTTTCCATACTGTTTCTTCAACCAAGATATGAGCTTTCGAAAACCTTCCGGGTACACCTGGAACACGAGTTAGTTGCTTTTTTATTAATTCAATCACCACTTGGCTGTCTACATTACTCTTCAATAAACAAGTATGACGTAGGATCAATTTCCAAAGACAGTGTTCAGCCTCAATGAGTCTTACAACTGTATACAGGGTGACTGGTGAATTACTATCAATATTTAAGGAGCATACTCGGTACATGATTCTCATTCGAATTATGTAAAAAAAATAGGCACTTAATTTTTGACCAAATTTCCGTATAAATAAATAAAGCGTGGATACGTTCCAAGTGTTCCAAGTGTGGACGCGTGCGGCGGCGTACTGATACAACAACACGCCGCCAAACGCGTATGTGTGTGTGTGTGAGTGTATACCTAATCTGTAGGGTGTGCACACGATGCGTAATTAATTACATAACTTTTGGTTAACTTTACTTAGAAGTTTATTAATATTTATGTTATATTAATTTTTATTTTGTCATATATGATCGTCAAATATGACGTCCTCAAATATCAATAGTAATTCACCAGTCACCCTGTATAGTAACAACAACACTCACATAGAACCAGCTGAAGCCAGCTTGCGGCCATTCTGGTCTCACTGATATTATTACATCAATGTCTGGTCCACCGAAGAGAGGCCAAGGACCAACAGCTTCCCCTCGGGCGAGGCGAGCAGTTCGTGATGTGTAGTAGTTCAAACCGTACAAGACATACATGCCTTTGAAAAATTCAATAAAAAAGCTTTGAAGGGACGCCTATTGCTATTTATATGGCTTTCTTATAACTTAACTTATAAATTATAATTATTAATAGAAAATCTTAGTCTTGGTATTAATTTATGTAACGATTAGACTATTTATATTTTATTCTCACCTCTTATTAGTTTCTTTTCTTCTTTTGTGAATTCTGGTAATCTGGATTTCCTGAATCCCTGTTGTTTACTCTTTTCTGCTATGAGTTTTTTCTATTTTCTTCGGCCAACCGCCTTCCTTAGAGTAGATTGGGTGTGAGTACAGTCCTCCCTGAAATTATATGACAGTAAATGAACATTTTCAATCATTTGAATTAAACTTCAAAAGTATTTAGTAACACTATTATTTTTGTTTAGTTTTTCTGTTTTCACCATTAACTGTAGAGCCAGTTCAGCCGCTTCTCATTCATTTTCATCATCTCCCTCAAACCACATGACTTGATTGGTGATGGACACTTTGCCTTTAAAATATAATGTAATACATTTGCATATGTATGCAAAATTAATTCAGAAGAACTTAGAGATTTTATTAATTAACAAAAAATCAAGTACCTAAAGTATTTTTTATAAAATCATATAATTCTTTTACCTTTATATTTTTGTCTAAACTCCTTATCATATATCCGCCATGCTTTAGCGTGTGCCAACATTGTGTTCTTGCTGCAGATATAATTTCCAACTCCAGTGCTAACTATTCCTGGAGCGTGAACTCCAAAAGTGTAAGCAACGTCACAAAACGTCAGCGGTTCATTGAGAGTGATCCAAGTTTTGACTCGGTCAGCGTATAGAGTGAACACAACACGAGCGTAGTCCGCAAACCAATCTGATATTAAAGGGTTGGTCCAGCCACCTGTGAATTATAACTTGGGCTAACAAACATTTTATATAATGCTACAAACTTGTGTGGAATGCCCTGAAAGGTGAGGATTCTTATTGATGGACATTTAATTTACAAGATTTACTTAAGGTTCCTGATTTATAAGATTAGAACTCATTAATATTTATTCATCAATATGATTTGCCGTTCAAAGGTTTTCGTTTAAAGAAATCATTTACAAAGAACATGTTGTTACTGAAAAATATTAATTTAAATGGGTTCTTCAGTTTTATCATGAAAGATGAACTTTTTGAACTTATATAATTAAAATTTATAATAAAGTATTTTGAAAACAAATGTTTTGTTTTATTATTTATTCTATTTGATATAGTGAAGAAGCAATGCATTTGTATTAAATACTTTTTCCAATCTCTGAAACTCACCAAGATCTTGTAAATTTTGTGCCAAATCCCAGTGATATATTACAACGACAGGCTCGATTCCTCTCTTCAATAAAGCATCTATAAAGTTGGAGTAAAATTTTACTCCGTCTTCACTCGTCTTATTTGTAAAACCATGAGGCAGAATTCTTGGCCAAGAAAGAGAAAATCTATAAAAAAAATATATACACAAATTAGTTATCATATTAAAAATTTAGACTAATATTCCGTAATAAATTATTTACTAACCAACTATAATTATTATTATATATCAAAAGTTAATATTCAATCGAACGGAAAGGGATCGCGTATTGGTACATTTTTTCCAAGTTGCTTGGAGCATTCTCCCACTGACCACTCGTGTCATACATCTGGATGGCACTTTTAATAATGGAAACAATATACCATACAACATCATGTCTACAACATATATTTATTTTCATTAGACCTAGAGGGTAATGGTATTTTTTTAAATGCGCTAGCTAATTTTAAAGCGCGTTGTGCTAATAGAGCTCACGGTTCCTTTGGAAGCCAACATTTCGAAAGACTATGTGATCAAGGTCGACAAGTATTACAAGCTCACTAAAAAACTCACTAAGAATAGGTTCGTGGTAAATTTGTATCCTATAGAAGTGCAGAGAGAGGTATGACAGCCAATTCTCTCTACATCCTACTAAAAGACTTGAGAGTGTTCTGAACTAATATCAGTTCATTACAACGTGCGTTGAAGGCAGCCCTAGTAGGTTCGTTTCAATTTTGTATAGGTTTTGAGAGGAGCTTGGACGGTGTGAGTATATTCATATCAATAGACGCATCGTTTTCCCTAGTGGCTCTCGGCTCTCAAAGGCTTGTATGTAGTAGGTCTGTCAACCGCAGCATCGACTCATACTGAGACGCTTCCTGAACGATGTTTAACATCGATTTAGGAAAACCATATGTTTGTTCTATACATATAATTAAACAATGTATATTTCAATATTTTACCTTATACATAGATATAGCTTCATCTGTGTCTGTATCTATATCTGTATATAAATGTGTTCAGCCTTTCTAAAGCGCCCTTCCTGTCGTAATTGTTGAGCGAGTGTCAGTAAAATATCTGTCTGTCTTCTTCTGCCAGATGTGTAGCGGCAACACGTAGACCTTCCGACACTGCCCGCGGCGTTGTACGCTCTTACACATTTCTCCGCCATGCCACAGGATATGAGAACTCGTTCCGCTGTATCCCATTCCTGTAAATGTTTGCAAAAATAGATAAATATAATTAATGAATATTAATTGACATATGAAACCTACTAGAATAAAATAAAAATCGACCAAAACCTTGAATTCAAAAAATTGAATAAATTGATCGTGAAGTTAAACCCGCGTATAAAAGAAGAAATGAATAATTGAAAACATATTAGTTTACACCCTTAGTGGATGTTTACATTTATATTTTTGTAACTATACACAATAACTAATAAGGAATGAACAAAATCGAATTACGTTAATAACAATTATAAAAAAAAAAAATAGAAACATATTTCTTTTGTTCATTATTTAAAATAACTTACTTGAGAAGATATAAAATGATCACCCAACTGTTCACTTTGCTCCCGAATAGATTCTTTATCTTCTATAACCTAAAGATATCAATGGATTGATTTACAAAAAAAATATATATAAAAAAACAAAACCTTTATTTATATATTATTGGAATCTCGGTATCGGCTCAAACGATGGCGATAAATCGATCTAGCTAGGAATAATTATCATCATTAATCATTTAGAAAATGTTATTTTACGTAAAAAGAATAACAAAAATTGTCGTTTAAAATATGACTCTCCTGACATCTAGTGGCGAATAGTGATACTACTTTATGCTACTTGCTTTTACTAATTGCTTTAACGACACAACAGCAGATGGCGTTGTTAAGTATCAGGAAGTCAATGAATGTTTGTTTTAAGGTTAGACTAAGAAATTAATTGTTGATTTATATTGTTTTCTGTCTTCTTACCGTTCTGAACTGCTTGTACATATTAATGGCCAATTCTGGCTGAGCGGCTCCACGTACGTAGTATTCTTCGGAGGTGGTTAAGTCCCCCACAAATATTGCTAGACGTGCACGAACCTCGGGACTCTTTAAACCTATGCATTATATTATAATCACGATTAATAAAATAAATAAATTTTACTTTCTAGTTGTTTGTTCTTCATGCACTGTATTTAAACTAAAATGTATTTAAACCAAAATGTTAACTTTGTGATTACATGCACTCTGTTAATATTTCAGCAAGAAGTGGTTGCCAGTAACTGAGGTAGCACATAGCATCTTAATTGTATTAATTTAAAAATTTGTATTTGTGTATACTTTGTTGGCGATCCAATAAATAAATAAATGAATACTATTAATACAATAAGTGCGTCCAAAAAAAAACTTGATACATGAGGTGTACCCAAATCGTGTAAATGCAAAAAATACCTTCATCATTACTCCCGTTCCCTTTGGCTGAAGCTAACTCGACAGTTTTCTTTAGATAAAATATTCTAGCCTCATCACCTACTGCTTTATAGCATTTCGTCGCCAACTGAAAAAAAGATATATCTCTTATGAGGTACTAAAACGTTTAAATGT